ATGTTCTGGGATTCCCATTCTTCTCAGAGTCAGCCACAGTTTGTTATGATCCACAGAGTCAAATGCCTTTGCATAATCAATGAAACACACATGAGTTATTATTCTTGATGTTGTCCCACATGGTTTTTAAAGTTTCTTCATTATCCTTCCTTCTTTTTTCAATTTATCTAATAGATTAATATTGTGGGATTTGTTTTCCATATCATTTATTTTGTACTCTTTTTTTAAAATCCTGCTCCTACATGATCTAATTATTAAATTTTAATTTAGTCTTAGTATTCTGAAAATCTACTTGCTTTTTTTAAAAAAAATTCCTTATAATTTTCCATTTATTTGTCTCTTTGGTATTTTGTGTTTTTTAAAAAAATAGAGAAATTAAAAAAAATTCTGTAGATTTTATGCACTAAACTATCATTCTTTTAAATACTTTGTCAAGAAGTTCCAATAATAGTTATTCCTCTGATTTCCTGGTTCTGTAATTTGTTCTTTTTTTTTTTTTACTGGTTTAATATTATCTGCTGCCTCCCAGGCATTATGTTGTTGTTTTCCATTATTTTCTTTTGATGTGTCATTATGAGCCATGCAAGTATGCTGTGCTGCTTGCTCATTTGCTAATTCTTAGTATTTCACCCCCAGTGTTCTGGTAGGTTTGCTGGAGGATGGAGGCGTGTTTCAGCTGTCTGTCTGCTGTGTTGGTCTTTGGTGGAGTTCTTCATAGAACAGGGAAGCAGGAATTGTACTTTTAGCTCTTGTTCAATTCATAAAGCTGCAGGAGTTGTATGCGTGGCTGGATACTGTTGGTGTTTGCTATCAGAGGGGACAAAGAAAAAGGAAAACAAATAACAAAAAAAATCATCTGCTTAATGTAGGTGCTCGACGAATTGCCACATTTCTCTCCACAGAGTCCTGCTTCTTAAATAATTTTCTCAGATTGAATAGGTATGGAGAAAGGATACTACCTTGATGCATAACTTTTCTGATTTTAAAGCACGCAGTCAGTGTTCTCTTGTTCTGAACAATACCTTCTTGATTTAGGAATAGATTTTATATGAGCATAATTAAGTGTTTTGGAATTACCATTCTTCTCAAGGTTAGCCATATTTTTTTAAGATCCACAAAGTCAAATGCCTTTGCATAGTCAATAAAACACCCATAGAAATTCTTTTGGTATTCTCTGCTTTTACTCAGGATCCATCTGACATCAGCAATGATATCCCTGGTGCCACAGTTTTTTCTAAACTCAGCTTGTATTTCTGGCAGTTCTCTGACAGTGTACTGTTCTAGCCATTTTGGATGATCTTTAGCAATATTTCACTTTCATGTGGTATTAATGATATTAATGAATAATAACCACATTCTGTTTGATAATTTTTCTTGGGAATGGCAACAAATATAGATCTATTCTAGTCAGCCTACTAGGTACCTGTCTTCCAGATTTCCTGGCACAAACTAGTAAGAACATCCAGAGCTGTGTCTGTTAGTTGAAACATGTCAATTAGTATCCCATCAATTCCTGGGGCCTTATTTTTTACCAATGCCTCCAGTGAAGCATGAACTTCTTCCTTCATTACCACTGGTTCTTATGCATATGGTACTTCCTAAAATCTTTCAATGTCAACAAATTCTTTTTGATACAATAATTGTGTATTCTTTCTATCTTTTTTGATGCTTCTTGGGTCATTTAAGATTTGGCCCATAGTATTCCTCAAAATTGCAACTTGAGGCTTTTGAATTATTAGCTAAGGTCTTTCAACTTGAGAAATGCTGAGTGAATTATTCCCTCCTTATTGTCCAGCTCTGGCTCTTTGCACATTCTGTTATAATACTTTGCTTAGTCCTCTTGAGCTGCCCTTTGAAATCTTCTGTTCAGATCTTTTACTTCTGCATTTCTTCTCTTTCATTTTTGGCTTCTTGATGTTCTAGTGCAATTTTCAGAGGTTCTTCTGTTATCCATTTTGGTCTTTTCTTCCTCTTCTGTCATAAGACTCTTCGGCTCTATTCATGAGTTTTATCTTTGATGTCATCCCATAACTCAGCTAGTCTTCAATCATTAGTGTTCAATTCATCAAACCTATTCTGGAGATGAGTTTTAAATTCATGTGGGATAGATTCAAGGTCATATTTTGATTCTTGTGGGATTGTTTTCATTTTCTTCAGCTTCAATTTGAATTTGCACATTTGCACAATTGGAAGTCTGTTCCACAGTCAGCGCCTGGCCTGGTATTGACTACTGATATGAGCTTCTCTAATGATTCTAGTACAAGGTTAAAAATCATTTACTCATTTTAAATTGACTGTAATTTTTAAGACACATGCAACTGACAGGAGGAGACCGATACTGTTCCCATTTCCCCAAATAATGATCCAATAGAGTGTCAAAACTACTGAATATTATCAATAATGTCAAATGCAAGTAAAACTCTGCAGAGGTTCACTAAAAAACGGCTGGAAGAGTACATCATGAGAGAACTGTCACATATTCAAGAGATTGAGAAGAGGTTGTGGTACAAATTATATTATTGCTGATATCAGGTGAATCTTGGTTGAAAGCAGAGAGTACCAGAAGAATTTTTATTTGTGCTTTACTCACTGTGTAAAGGCATTTGACTGCATGGATCATAACAAATTAATGCTAACTGGGAGAAAACTGGGAATTCAGAACAATTAATTGTGCTCATGCCAAGTCAGGAACCAGCTATCTGAACAGGAAAAAGAATGCTGAATAGTTTAAAATCAGAAAAGTATGTTTCAGAATTGTATCCTTTCTCCACACCTATTTAATCTGTATGCTGAGAAAATCATTCGAGAAGCTGGACTCTGTGAAGAAGAATGTGGTACCAAGATTGGAGGAAGACTCTTTAACAAAGTGCACTATGCAGGTAACACAACTTTGCTTGAAGAAAGTAAAGAGGATTTTAAACTCTTGCTTCAAAAAAATTAAAGACTATAGCCCAATATGGAGAGAGAATACAACCCAGATGCACTCCCTTCTCAATTTAAAACCATGCAGTGTTCCCCTGTTCTGTTCACCTCCTGGTCCAGGAACAGGTTTTGCATGAGCACAATTAAGTGCTCTGGGATTCCATTCTTCTCAATGTCAGCCACAACTTCTTATGATCCACACTTGGCTTTTGCATAGTCAACAAAGCACAAAAAGACATTCTTCTAGTATTCTTTACTTTCAGCCAGGATCCATCTGACATCAGCAATGATATCCCTGGTGCCATGACCTCTTCTAAATCCTGCTTGAATTTCTGGCAGTTCCCTATCTATGTACTGTTCTAGCCATTTTTTAATGCTCTTTAGCAGGATTTTGCTTACATGTGATATTAATGATATTGTTTAATGGCTTACACATTCAGTTGTATCACCTTTCTTGGAAATGGGAACAATTATATGGACCTCTTGCAATCCGTTGGCCAAACAGCTGTTTTCCAAAACGCCTTTGTATTCTCTCTCCATACCTATTAAATTTGTATGCTGAACAAATTATCTGAGGAGCTGGACTCTATGAAAAGGATTTGTGGGAGACTCATCAATAGCCTGCGCTATGCAGATGACACAACTTTGCTTGCTGAAAGTGAGGAGGATTTGAAGCACTTGTTGCAGATTGTCAAGGAATGCAGCTTTCTGTACGGATTGCAACTCAATGTCAAGAAGACAAAGCTTCTTAGCACTGGACTGATAGCATCATGATGGATAGAGAAGAAATTGTCAACAGCTTCATTTTACTTGGATCCACAATTAACACCCCTGGTACCAGCAGTCAGGAAATAAGGAGATGCATTGCACTGGGAAAGTCTGTAGTTAGGGACCTCTCCAAATTATTGAGGAGTAATGACATCAGTTTGAGGACTAAGATTCAGGCCATAATCTTTCCAATTACTTGCTATATATCTGAGAGCTGGACAATGAATAAGGATGAGAGAAGAATTGATGCTTATGAGCTGTGGTGCTGGAGAAGAGCACCGAACATCACATGGACATCCAAGAGAGCAGAGAAGCCTTGGGGAAGGTGCAGCTGGAGTGCCCTGTGGCGGCAAGACCAATGAGGTTTTGCCTCACATACTTTGGGTTTGTTGCTAGGAGGGGTTATTTCTTGGAGAAGGACATGATACTGAGAAGAGTGGCAGGTTGGTATAGGAGATGAAGACCTTCAACCAGATAGATTGATATGGTGACTACTGCAACAGGCTGCTATGTGTCAGGAAGTGTGAGGATGGTGTAGGATAAAACATGGTCCAGATCTTTTGTTCATAGGCTTACTATGAGTCATACTTGATGGCACATAATAACAACAGCAGCAACATAGCCCAATATCGAGAAAACAAAAATCCTTACTGATAGGCAGCATCATGATAGACAGAGAAAAGACGGAAGTTATCAAACAACTTCATTTTACTTTGACACACAATCAACAGCTATGGTGTTATCAGTCAAGAAATCAACAGATGAATTACATTGGAAAATCTGCTGTCAAGGACCTCTTCAAAGCATTAAGAGCAAAGATGTCAGTTTAAAGACTAAGGAGCACCTTATCCAAGCTCCATTGTATTTTAAACTGCTTCCTAAACATCTGAAAAGTTGGACAAAGACTAAAGAAAACAAAAGAAGAACTGATGGCTTTGAGAAAGTACGAGGGTGCTTCTCAGAGGCAAGAATGGTAAAACTTCATCTCACATACTCTGGGCATGTTGTCAGGAGGTGTCAGTTCTTGGAAAAAAAACATCATGATGGGAAAGGGGAAGGTCAGTGAAAGAGAGGAAGACTTTCACCAAAATGTATGGATTAACACAGTGACTACAACAGTGGGCTGAGACATATAGTGAGGATGGCACAGGACAGGGCAAAGTTCAGATCTGTTGTTTATTGGGCTGTCAACTAGAAGTGGATTCAATAGCACCTAATGACAACATAATCTAAGAACAGAACACTGGTGGCCTAGTGAGTAAGGAGTTGTGCTGCCAACCTGTGCAGGTCATCTGAATCCAGCAACTGTTCTTCAGAAGAAAGACAGGACATCTCTTCCCATGTAACCCATGTAATTCACAGCTTGTGAAAACTAGTTGGTGGGTCAACCCAATGGGTCAGTTCAACTCAAAGGCAGTGAATGAGTGAGAATTTAGGATGATCTTGACATTTTAATATTTATCCTAGAAACGGTGGCCACTATTGGTCTGGAATAAATGATAGTAAATGATCCAAATCCATTTCCCCCCTCCTAACAACATGAATTTTAATTCTGGCTTTATTGATTGAAAAACTGAAAGAGATTAAACAACAACTGAGATAACATGGTCAGAATATTGGGTCAAGGAGATGTTGCATTCTGCTTTAGAGTCAAGATCTGTGAAATCTTATCTTACCTCAGAGTCAGAGCTGTCCAGCTCTGCCAGAGTCGGGGCTTTGAGGAGCTTCTTCCTCTGCACTGGGACCTGCTGGGTGGCAGTTAAGCCATATTCTTTCACTGATGAAGTTAAACCATTCATCACAGATGATTCTACCACATTCTTTGGAGATTCAGGAGTAGTTATATCTGATAAAAGAAAGGCAAAAGTTATGGGATTTTTAGTCCAAAAAAAGTAATTAGTGCTTGTTCATACCCTATGCCCATTTTTCAATTGGGTTGTTTATCTTGTTGTAGTGCTCGAGTATTATATAAATTCTAGATATAAGTCCCTTATCTGACATGTCATTACCAAATATTTTTTCCCAGTCTGTGACTTCTCTTTTTCACCCTGTTGGAAAAGTTTTTGGATGTGCATAGGGATTGGATTCTTAGAAAGTCCCATTCATCTATTTTATCCTCTCCTGGCTATAGGTTTTTCAAGATGCTTGGACAACTGTTTATGTTTTGGATTAGGACTTCTAGAGTTCTTCCAAGCTTTTCTTTAATGAAGTTTATAGTCCTTGGTTTTAGTACTAGGTCCTTGACCCACTCCACGTTGAGTTGGTTTTTGTGTATGGAATGAGATGTGGATCTTGCTGGAGTTTTCTGCAGATAGTTTTCCAATTGTGCCAACACCATTTGTTAAAAAGGCTGTCATTTCCCCACTTGACTGATTTCATCTCCTTGTCAAAAATCAGTTGATCATAGGTAGATGGGCTGATTTCTGGATTCTCAAATCTATTCCATTGATCTATTTGTCTGCCATTTTACCAGTACCTTAGATGGTGAACAAACACAAAAAGAAATTTTCAAGATCCCTAGCTCTACGAGAGATGCAAATCAAGACAACTATGAGATACCATCTCACCCCAGTAAGACTAGCAAAATTTAACAGAACAGAAAATTACAAATACTGGCATGGTTGTGGAGAGACGGGAATCCTTATTCACTGTTGGTGGGAGTGTAAAATCACTATGGCAGTCAGTATGGCAATTTCTCAAAAAGTTGCAAATAGAAATACCATTTGACCCAGCAATTCCACTACTGGGAGTTTACCCTAAAGAAACAATAACTGCCACCCAAGTAGATATATGCAAACCCACGTTTAATGCGGCTTTGTTCACAATAGCAAAGAGGTGGAAACAACCCAAGTGGCCATCAGCAAACGAATGGATAGAGAAGCTGTGGTATATTCACATAATGGAATACTACGCTGCACTGAAAAACAGGGAAGTCATGAATTATTATACAAAATGGGTGACCCTGTAGGTCATTATGCTGAGTGAAGTATCGTGGTCACAGAGGGACAAATGCTGCATAATGTCACTGTTGTAAAGCAGGATTGACATTGGGGTTGAGAGGAGACTGAGAAAAAAGGGGATAAATAATGTATACTGCATTGAAACAGATGAGGGAGAGAACTGTTTAAAAGGGATATATGATTAGGTATTATTGTCAT